ACAGAATATGAAAAAATTCATCTCTTGGCCCCTCATCCATGGAACCTGTACAACTTGCTTAATGAATATATATGTGTGTATGTATATAGATTTCAATTTTAATTTTATAAAACTGAGAGCATATTATACCAATTGTGTGTATTATAACTTACTTCTATCCACTGAATAAAATGATATGCACACGTTTTGCCAATAAATTCACTTCACCTGTGTGGTAGATGGCTTCTAAGCTGGGTGCCTATGATCCCTGGTCCTGGTGTGATTGCCATTGTGCCACCTACTCCCCTTGGGTATGGCCTGGACTGCTGCCTTGCTTTTAACCAATAGAATCTGGAAACGGTGATGGCATGTCACTGTCAACATTCGGTTATAAAAAGACTCTTGCTTCAGTCTTGCGTTTTATCTCTTGCTTGATCGCTGGGATGAAGCCAGTGGCTATGGTGTGATCTGCCCTATGGAGAGGTCCCCGTGGCAAGGAACTGAGGGAGAGGTGACTGCAGTTCTAGTCAACATGGGGAGTGAGTTCTGCAAGAAGCCCGGATCCAGAGAGAGATCATATATCTCCATGGGACTAAACGCCTCAGCTTTCTCTGGTGGAATGGCCGGTGGTTTTGAACAGCTGAGTTTGCAGTTAGCAGCCCAACCTGCAACCCACTATGCCAGCAGGGCTCCTTCTCTAGTAGTACTCTGATTCTGATGCACACGAGATTCATTTTGGGCTGTTTAAAGCACCCCCAGTCTATTTGCCCCACCCCCTTTTTAACATAGAAGTGAGACTGTGCCAATACTTCCAGGTGGTAAAGGTGTTTACTTCAGCGAAGGTGGGTAGGGCTGTTGTTAGCTGCCACAGAGAATCAGCATTTTGGCAGATTCTGCTGCAGGTGGTTTCTGATCACATTCGAGATATACTGCTGTGATATCAAAGCACCTGGTTTTAAAATCATACAATTAAGACATGGATATTAAAGATTAGCAGTTGGAATCTTAAGGCGTCATCCTGTGATGAAAAGATGCACATCCAGTTGACGTGTTGCAGGTTTCACATAGCAATTGCCTCCTTCGGATTTGTTTTACTGCCTATCTACACAGAAAGTAATGACACCCCAATTAAGTGTGTCGGGGTGGGCCTTTCATTCAAAGTCTCTTATTTGCAGCAATTGGTTCTGTATGGAGTCACAATAGTTTTAGGAGAGTCACCAAAAGGAAAATGAGTTTAAGCAACTTTCAAAAGAAGAAGAAGGAGAAAAAGGAGAAGTGGTATTTCAATAAGGTTGCAGAGATGTACCAGTAGTTTTGTGAAGATCTGTCAGGTATTTCGCTGAGGTAATCCCTTCAAAATAAACCTTATAGGTCACAAAGTGCTAGGAAAATATGTTGATGAATCCTTGAGTATTGCCCTGATTATGGCTCCTTGGGGAATGGAGAACTCATTAGCATTAGTTCCATGTCCCTACTTCCCAGACTTGGCATAAAAAAAGGCTATCAAAATGTATGTAGCATGGCCAAGTTTCAAATGGATTGCTATCTAGCCCCACTGATTAAATCCAAGGCATTACATAATATTAAAAGGCTGTTGTGCTTCATAACTTTTTTTGTTTAACTGTTGGAAGGCTTCAAAGGCGTTAAGAAAAAAGTCTGGCTGTATGTTTCTTTTCAGTGGTAGTGGTAGGGATGGTAATCTCTCTATAAATTCTTGACTCTTCATCTTCACTTGTAATGCATGTTTCCTGGAGCCAGAGAGAATCCTCAGCGTTTAGAAGTTGTTAAATTGAGAGTATCGTGTGTGTGTGTGTGTGTGTGTGTGTGTGTGTGTGTGTGTGTATGGGGGGGGGTTGTCAGTGTGAGAGAAAGAGGCAGCTGGGAGAATGGTAAAGCTGTGTTTGCTTTCAGGAATAATAAGTTGTAAAACAGGTTGTTTGGGGTAAAATTCCCTTGAGTAGATTATTGATTTAAAATACATCTGCCTTAGATTTACATAGTGGTTTGAAAAGTTCAAAGCTCCGTTGCCTTTATCATCTCATTTGAACTTCCTATCAACCCTATAAAATAGGGACAGCAGGTCTTATAAGCCACCACCACTTAAAAGAAGGCTAAACCGAGCCTGTCAAGAAACTTGTTCAAGGTCACATAGCCAGTTGTCACATCGAGAACTACAATACCAGAATTTTGACACTGAAAGCTTGTGTTTTCTTGGCAGAGAATGTCTCTACTACTGCTTGATCTACCGGGAGTTCATGTGGAGATTTGTGGCTACAATTTAATTGGAGAATACAAATCAGGTATGCCTAAAGAGCTCTACAGAAAGGAGATTGTTTCTTTTAGATCATGGCTGTGTTCAGAAAGGGGGTGGGAGAATGGAGTCAGTTGTTTTGGACAATGCAAATTAAAAACAAACAAAACCACTTTGTAATCAGTTTCTGGATATTACGGGAGCTATTCATTCATTAATTCGTGTATTCATTCATTTAAAAAAGTATCTATTAAGTGTCTTTATAGAAGAGACTGTGTCAGTACTTTGGGGAGATACAAAGAAATGCATTTAATTTGGGGGGCAGGGTAGAAGGAGCACTTTGAATTATACAAATTATCACTATTTTAGCCATTGTCAGTCACCACCTGGTGGATTAAATGAAAAGATTTCAGTGCAGAGGAGCAAGATTAAAACAAAACAAACAAAAACCAGATGAAGGATAATATAAAATAAAAACTTAAAAACAAACAAACAAAAAATAGATGAAGGAAACAGGGCAACTAATTTCCTTCAGTCCTTAGGAGGCTTGTTTGTTTTTAATCAAGTTGGTAAAGTGTCCTGCCAGACCCTTAAGGTCTCTTGTTGGCTGTGGCATTCTTAGAGAGCACACTTCTTCATTCAAATGTTAAAAGAAACTAGGGAGACTGCTTTTAAGTTAATGCCCTATCAGGGTTATCCAGATAAGGAGTTAAGGGAAATGTTGATATCTAACCCAGAGCTTTCAACTCCCAAAAAGAATCTCTACAGGCCAGAACAAACTACCCGGCCCCCCTCCCCCCCCCTCTTGACAGGTGTGCTTGAGGATAAGAACAAAAGGGAACAGAGGCACCCAGGGACCCAGGGAGGCAGCTGGAGTTGAAAGCCCCATTACTAGAGTGGAAGATGAGAAAGAGTTTGCTAGTGGGTGTTGTCAGTTTTCCCAGATGCCATCTTGTGTTTTTTAGAAAAGCATTTCCCTGATAAATGTTTTCTAGCACAAAGGCCTTCAAACCCTGGTAGCAAAATTGCGTTCATACTATCACACATTGTAAATACTTAATTGATATATCCAAGGGGAGGAGGTACCCCAAAAACCAGAAATGCGATGGGTGAAGTTTTTGTAGTACGAATTCCCCACCCCCACCACTAGGCAAGCATTGAGCAACTCACTCTGAGTTAGTGCAGAGGCATTGCCTGGGAAGGTTCTCTCTGGTCACAGTAAATTTTTTCCTAAAAACAGTTTTGTTCGAACCTCGTTTTTTGTGATGGCCGATTGTGATGGCATGTGGCTGTGAAATTTCCTCAGGAAAAATGCCACAGAAACTGTTGCGGTGTTGAACACAGCTTACAAAGACAGTGCTATGGGAAAAAACTCTCGTGTATGAGTGAAAGGAGAAAACTCTCCTTTCAAAAAAGGTGAAATGTTGATTGATGACAAACCTCATCTGGACGCCTGTCAACTTCCCTAATGGACAAAAATGTTGACTTGTGGTGCATTTGGAGTTTGTTATACGAGGTCAAACGGTTAATCAATTTTCTATTTAGAGGTTCCGAAAAGATAGCATCACATACAGTGTGCAACAAAAAAAAGCCTGATTTGGGGCAGATGGGGACTGGTTTTGCCTACACGACAATGCACCTGCTCATGAAGCCATCTTACTGTGCCAGTTTTTGGTAAAAAACATCATGGTTCTCTTGCCCCATGCCCCTTACTCACCTGACCATGCTCTGTGGGACTTCTCTTTGTTTCCATGAATGTAGAGGGACATGAAAGGACAGTGATTCGACAAGTAGAGGAGGTGAAGAAAAAAAAAATGAGGGAAGTGCTATCGGCCAGATGAGTTTGAAAAATGATTCCAAGAATGGAATCGCAGGTTTGACAAATGTATTAAGTGTAATGGAGAGTACCTTGAAGGCAATAAAAGTTGTCTTGTGAAAAAAAACAAATACATAGCTTTGAAAAAAATCCATTTTTTGGGGGGGAAGGTACCCCCTCGAGTGCACATACATGTGTTACTTTTCTTCTGCCTTATGTGAGTGTGTCATGTGCATGCATGTTGAGTGTGCATGTGCTAAGAGGTGAGACTCAGCTTGACCCCAGTTCTAGCCCTAACTCTGTCTTCTCTGGATTTCCTTCTTCTTTTCTTGTTTTTTCACTTGTAAAATTATCAGGTTAAGTAGGTAACTTCTAAAATCTGTTCCTTTAGAAGTGGGATGAGCAATGTGACATCATGGGGATTGCAGTCAGTGACATGAAACAACATGTGTAAGTATGAATTGTTGAATGAAAAACTGATTTGTTCTGTGAACCTTCACCTATTTTACAATAAAAAGTTAAAAAATATTATTTTCCTCTACTATGCTAGGATGTTCCAGTTTTTTAATGTTTTAGTTATATTTGCTTGTTCTAGCAAAATTGGCTACAAAATTATAATGTAGATAACATTATTCACTTTTGTAAGAGCCCCCAATAAAATGATTAAGAAAATTATCCACCTGATTAAATGATTGTTTGTCTTGTGATACGCTCTGGTTTTGTATTTAAAAAAAGATTGACTCTTAATCCAGGATTTAAAGAAAAGTTATTTTGAGCAAGACATATTTGCATTAAAAAACAAAAGTATGAACATAGAAATGTCATAAAGTCAGAGTGCCTTGGGGATGCTAATTTTCTATCCAAATTCCTTACTTTGAGAAAAATACTAATAAATGGCAGAATATTTTCCTATTTTGAGATCACACTTCTTTACCTATAAAGTAAAAACCATACCTGGATCCACAAGACCTCCTACCCACTGGTCCATGGTCGTCCCACATTCGACATCATTGCATGTGCTGTGTAAGTCTAAAGAGGAATTTATGGATTAGTATCGGACATATGGGTGAATATAGGACTTACGGACTTGATCTGGATTGGGTTAGGATGTTTACTCAATATACAATTGTTCTTTGATATAAAGCTCTTTCTTTTACATTAAAAAAAACCATACCTGTTCAGAGTTTAAATCAAGGTATAATATTAAAAGTAAAATGTAAAGCACATACTTTTCTAAAATTATTTTAGCTATTACAGCTTTAGTTTTCCTAGAAATAATACTGTGATTTATTTAAGAACATACATTTCAAATTTTCACTATTTAAAAATGAATACACTTAAAAATATTGACATTCACTGAAATTCCAGGTACACTTATGGTTGCTAGTAAAACTTGGATCCATTGTTCCCAAGCTGCAAAATGCATTATTATTTTTAAATTCTTATATTAAATATAAAACAACATCCCTTAATATAGTTAGCCCTTTAGTGAAATGTTTGGAAATTAAATATTTACACAAAATATTAATCAGTATTAAGGCATACCACCCTATTTTTTGCCATGGGCTCCTCAAGTTGAAGTTATCAGAGCTCTTTACAACTAATGTTTCAAGCATTTCATTGACTCCTACCATATCATCCTTCCATTACCCATTTCAATTTAACCTTGACTTCCCACGGCTGTAATACTTTACTCAGTCCAAACCTCTTATTGCCACCCCCTCCCCTCTATTCTTTCTGTCTCTTATAGCAATCCAAAAATCGGCCCCCACAAAACAAAAATCAAACTCAAATTCACTGCTATCGAGTAGATTCTGACTCTGGTAACCATATAGGACAGGATAGATTTGCCCCTGTGGGTTTCCAAGACTATAATTCTTGATGGGAGTGGGAAGTCTTCTCTTTCTCCCTATGAAGCAATAGTGGAGAGAAAAAAACAAAAGCCATTCCTTTAAGAAAGAGTCTGCCTCCTCATAAGCAATCGCCTAATGGTAATTGTGGAGTCTCTACTAAGTCACACACTTTACTACTCAGCATTGGAAGAGGCAGCTGCTGCTGCTGCCGCTACTGGTCTGAGGCTGCAGTGGGTTTCTGTGCAGCACTGCAGAATCCACATCTAGAGAACGGCGCGACACACACACGCACACACGGTGACTGCCCCTGGACAGGAGGGAACCTTGGATCCTCAGCGGTAAGCAGATCTTTGCTCTATTTTGTCCAGAAACTGTGGGAAAAGGACTGATCATGGAAAAGGCTGTTCCTCAGACACGCTTAAAATGGATCGTGTTAATTTGTCTTCTAGGGTGTTTAGATTTAGAACTAGCAAATGCCCGGTAAAGACGATTATCTGACATGTGTCTTTAGCACACTTTTTGAGGTGCTATTTATAAAAAGGCTACCCTTGATGCATGCAAAGCTTTTTTTTTTTTTTTTTTCAAATATCCGAACACAGCCACTCCCAATCTCTCAAATACTGCAGCTATTTTAAAATGCCAAATCAAATGACAGGCTGATCATTTGCTCAGTATTTCTCTCCCTAAAGCCAGGAACCCTTCCCCACGATTTTTAGGGGGTATTTAAAAATCATAAGGCTTGGTTAAGGCTTGAGCAGATGGGAGATGGCAGACTAAAATTCCTACAACCTTAGTCCAATGGAGAGAGAAAATCGGGGATAAAATGAATCAGAGTTTGTGCCAAGACAAGATTCAATTTTCCACACTTCATACGTGGGAAGAGGAAACTACATTTTAATTAGCACATTTTTTTAGGGATGAGGGAGGAGAGGGAGATGAGGGGGATGGCGGGAGGAATTTGAGGGGGAAGAGTCTGCCTAGGAGGAAGGAAATGAAGTGGACTGTCATCAATGCCTTGGAAAAGAAGAGCATTTGGGGGCGGGGGAGGGGTGCGGAATGAAGTTTGTAGTGTGTGGCCGGGTGGGGTTGACCAGAAGGACCATGAATAACCAGAATGGCGCTTGGAGGGGAGTGCCTGGTGATGGGTGTGGGAGACATACACGCGTGCCCGGGGAGGACATGTGTGTGGGAGGGGCGTGCTAGTCGTGGTGGCAGAGAAAGGTGTGTGTCGCCGGGCTATTTCCAGAGTCGGTTGGGGTGGGAAACGTGTGCAGGCGGCGGGGGGTGGGCGGCCCAGTGTCACCTGTGGCTGAATCAAACCCTTGCAATGTCAAAGTTTGCCCTGATTCCTTTTAGAGGCGGCTGGAGGCGCCTCTTCTGTTTACCTCCAGGAGGTCAGCTCTCGGAAGGTCACGAGGCGGGGGATGGGGGTGAAGTGAGGGGGGAGGGGAGAGGGGTGACCCCCGATGGGTACAACTCTTCCCAGCCCGCCCTTCCCCGGAGGGGAGTGAGCAGGGGAGGCGCCCCCGCCAGCCACGCTGCTGACCTGGTAATGCAGCCCCTCTCCTCCGGGGACGTGCAGAGAGTGACCCTCAGCAGCGGTCGGTCTCCCGAGGGAAACCAAGCAGCCGGGCTGGGTGGCTGAGGCTGAGCCCCGGGAACGCTGGGCTCGCTCGGGCTCGGGTGGTAGACATTTCCCTGGCGCCCCTCCTCCCCTACAAGACAAGAGCTTCAGTCGAGGTCGTTTCCGCGTCCAGCCCTTAGGGGACGCCGCGGCACGGAGGGGAGAAACTGGCTGAAGGGGCGCCAGGCGGCGTGGCCGCGGCGGGCCATTTCCTGGCCGGGTCTGCAGAGGCCTAACGGCCGCCGCCTCTCCGACTACGTGCTGCGGGGAGGGGAGGGAAGGGGCGGCGAGTGCAGGGCCCGACCCTCCGGGGGCGCGAGGGGCGGGGCCTGGGGGCGCCCGGGGCCGCGCCGGGAGGAGGCGAGGCCAAGAGCTTTCGGTCGCCGCGAGGGGCGGGGCCTGAGAATTCGGGGGCACTTGAGGGGCGGGGTCAGGGGCACTCGGGAGTGGAGAGAGACGGAGGCTCGGGGAGGGGAGGGCGGAGTCCAGAGCGCTTGGGCCTGGGGGCGGGGCCTGGGGGCGGGGCTCGAGGGCGCTCGGGGGCCGTTCGGCGTCCCGCCAGAGCGCGAGCCGCCAACCTTCAACGGTCGTCTGGGCCAGGGGCGGGAGGGGAAAGGAGGGCAGGTTAATTTATCAATTTAAACCGGAAAGCGACAGTTAGAGAGGATCGGCGACCCAGGTGTCGCCGTTTCCTGCCACCCGGGGCTCGGCGCCGAGGCCCCTCCCTCCTCACGCCCCTTCCCCTGCCCGCCCCTCAGGAGCCGGCGACGCTCAAGAGGCGGCGGCAGAGCGGCGGCCGCGGCAGTCGGGGCGGCCGCAGAGACGGAGGGAGGGCGACACAAAGCCGGCTGCGCGCTGCGAGGTAATCCCGACGGCGAAGAGGCGAGAGCGTCGTCCCCATCACGCGGGGAGCCCCTTGCGGGGCAGGCTCGAGGGCCCGGAGGAACTTCCTACTGGCGGCCCCTGACGGCCTCCCTCCGTCCTAGGGGCGGGAGTGGGAGCCTCGGCGGGCGCGGGGGCCGTACCTGCGGGGGAAAGTCCGGGCTCTGCGGAACGCGGTCCGCCACCCGCGAGTGGGAGGGTCTCTCGGAGCCCCCTTGCTGTGTCCCAGGCGTTCGGGAGTTCGGCACGAATGGAATGCCTGCTGTAGCTTTGGGGACTCGGGGACTCTGGAGCCCTCCAGGTGCGCTCCCGGCGGGTGAGGTTCCCGCGCTTGGAAAAGCAGAGGGGGAAGGAAGGACTGTTGGTTTGTTCTTTTTGTTTTGTTTTTGCCCTTCGTTTAAGCATTTCTGTTACAAGTTCAAAGTGTGCAACGACTTTCTCTTCGAACCCTCGCCCCCTCCCCATCTCTCTCATTCTAACTCACTCACTCACACACTCACACTCACACCTTGCGCTTCCTGCCCAGATTGACGGGGAGGGTTGGCAGCCAGTCGGGTTTGCTGGTGTTTGCGCTTCTTTGGAGGTACGCGATTATAGCCGGGCAAAACCACAGAGATAGGCAGAATAAGCTGGGCCTCTATTAAAATGGCAAGAATGGCCTCAGATGAACCTTTCTTGTTGCAGAGATTTAATTGCAAGTAGGTGCCCGTTTAAAATACAAGTGTAAGTAAAACCACTAATTTCCTTGGCACAAGTGCTGTTGCAGTTGACCTGCTACAGTGGTATTGGTGAAAAAGGGAACTGAACCAAGAGACTCTGAATGAGGATTATGGAAGAAACTGATAAAAAATTCGGGGAGGAGGGAGGGTGGTACCAGCCACACAAACGTGTGTATGCTTACACGATAGCATGTGACAGTTTAGATTTAGTAGTATGGAATGGCTGATTTTCTTGGAGTGGATTCCGTCTCCATCATACCTGGATACTTCCTCATTTTTTGTTTCATTTGACCTTTTTAAATGTAAGGCTTGGATATTAAAACGATGTGTGTAATCAAGGAATGGGCCCAACCCATTTATAAGCTTTCAGTTACACTTGGAATGTATGTAGAAAGCTTTTATATCTTAAGTCATGATTGCACTGTAATCGCACTGTAACTCATTTCCCTCTGCCTAAATTGAACAGATTAACTTTACAGCGAAAGGATGTGGGGGTGGGGGGTGGGGAGAAGGCTACTTTTGCTGTATTTAACTGTTTATCTTCCAAAGAGTTCAGTGGGCTAACTCTTAAAGTTGATCTCAAGTAACAGTTAGCCTTTTGGTAATACGCGTGTGTGCATATGATAGTTGTTTTTAGAAGAAAACTATCATTTTCAATGTTAAACATAATTTAACAGTGGTTGAGATTGTGAGATTGTTTTTTATGAGACATTTAGTTTGTTGCAGTTTTTTCCTTGTGTGATAGCAGGAAATGTTTGATAGTAAACATCTGACAAATGACATAGGTGATCTGGCACTACAAGCCACTCGCCACTCAAGAAATACTTATGTAGCATGATAGGCTTATATTTCCAGAATGTAAGTTTTAGCCATTAACTGAAAACGAAGAAGAAAATTGTATTGAAAATTGCATTTTGGAGCAGTTCTCTATTGTCTGTCTTATAGTGTTCCCATGAGTTAAAACTGACTCCTGGTAATGGGTTTGGTTTGGGGAATGGTAAGGCAGTTAGTTAATTTCACTGAACTCCTCACAGTTGACCAGCGTATAGGAAGCGTTTCTGTTTTGGGGAGAAATCATGGAAATTGAACTATACAAACTCAATTTATAGAATAATGGAAAATGATCATACCAGAACTTAAAATTCATTTTAGGTAAAATGCTTAGAATCTGGAACTCACTAAGTGCTTTATATATTTATCATAATCATCCTCTATAAGATGACATTTTGAAGGCAGTTAGATCATGCTCCCCAGGAGGTTAAGAGCGAGTGGATATTTACAACAGCTAATATTTACTTGCTCTAACTCTGTGTCATTCCCTAAATATAAAAGTGTTATGTTTTAATTTACAAAATCATCACAGCAACTCCGTGACAAACAGAGGCATGGAGAGGCTAAGTATCTTGTCCAAGGCCTGTAGCTACTGGGTGGCACAGGCCGGTTTCAAACTCAGTGCAGTTCCAGAGGGAGCCCATGTAACCCTTGGGCTGTTGCTTTCACACTGGGAATAATACAGGCAGTTCCTAGGTCAGGAATGAGATCCCCAAGTAGTGCTTTAAGTTGAATTTGTTGCAAATTGGATGCTGAAACAGATGTATATGGTTCTTATTAGGTGAGTGGGTCAAAGTTACCAGCAACTCCTCCAGAGAAAGATAAGGCTGTGTGCTACTGTGGTTACGTGTTGGGCTGCCAACTACAAGATCAGTTTGAAACCACCAGCCTCTGCAGGAGGAAGACCAGGCTTTCTACGCCCATAAAGATTGACAGTCTGGGAAACCAAGGGCAGTTCTACCTTGTCCTTTAGGGTCACTATGAATCAGAATTAACTCATTGCAGTGAATTTGGTTTTATATAGACTCTCTGAGGAGCTCTGGTGGCATACAGGTAGCATGTTGGGCTGCTAGCCTAAGGTGACCAGATTTGAACATTGGTAAAGCGGGACAAAAGTGGGACACCATTGATAAAACTCATATCCTGGCAAAATAGCCACATGGCAGCCGAAAACTGTATACCCTAGCTTGTCTGTCGTGCATTCTTTCTAAAAATCGGGACTTTTTAAAAACGCCGCGGGACACAAGAAAAATTGTTAAAAATCGGGACGTCTGGTCACCTTATGTTAGCCACAAGTAAGGTCAGCAGTTTGAAACCATCAGCAACTCTTGCGGGGGAAATGAACCTTTACTCTTGTAAGGAGTTACTGTCTGAGAACCCCCTGGGCCAGTTTTACTCTGTTCTACAGAGTCGCAGTGAGTTGAAGTCAACTTGATGGTTGTGAGATAGTGGGTCTCTATGAGTTGGATTTGACTCGTGGAAGTTGGATTGGGTGTGTGTGTGCATACATGCACGTACAACAAAAAGTCCTACTAACCCAATGATCGTCAGTTTGAACTCACCAGCTGCTCCATGAGAGAAATATCAGGCAGTCTGCTTGACCTTGGAAACCCTATAGAGCAGTTGTGCTCGCTCCTATGGGTGTTAAGTCTGAATCAACTTGACAGACAGTGGAGGTTTTAGGGTTTATGTTTTTCAGTGCAAGTAAAAGCCTTTATAATTTATAAATCTTTACTTGCAGCAAGTGAAGGTGATAAGGATAAAAAAAATTGTTGAGTTGGTTCAGTTGTTTTAGAAGTGAGGGCACATTTATGTAATATGGAAGGGGCTAGTAGAAACAATCCTTGTGTCCTAAGTCAGGTTTGTAACCAGAGATTAATTGTTGCAAATCAATAAAAAGTCTTCATGGTATCGCCTAGACTACCAGATACACATGGCCTTACTGGACCATACCCTTTGGTATTAATACTGCCAACAGGTTGTGTTTATATCTGAAGGGTAGTGATTAGTCTGCATCCTGTAGAGTCACCTTTAACTTTAGAGCAGTGGTTCTCAACCTTCCTCATGCCTCGACTCTTTTCTAATACAGTTCCTCATGTTTTGGTGACACCCCAACTATAAAATTATTTTCATGGCTACTTCATAACTGTAATTTTGCTACTGTTATGAATTGGGTGACCCCTGTGAAAGGGTCGTTTGATCCCCAAAGGGGTCGTGACCCACAGGTTGAGAACTGCTGCTTTAGAGGAATATTTTCTTGATACACACAACAAATATCTAACTAGGATGCTAGAATTTTGCTTATAGTGTCTCATCTTTTTAATAAAAATTTCAAGTTTGTTTGTTTTTTAAGCTTGTCAGGTATGTAGGGCACTAAGTGGCCCAGGGTGAGTCCCTTAGAGATTCTGATTCAGTGCTAAACAATAGCATAATCTTTTAAATTACCAATACCAAATTGACCCGGGATGGATTTTTATCTCAAGTTTCTTCTAAGTACTCCTGAGTTGCCTCCTAAAATTAACACTAAACGAAAAGACACAACTTGTAGCTTATACTTGGTCTCTCACATAGCCGTCAAGGAGCTGATGATTTGTGATTATTGCTGCTTCATCATTGTAGCTAATATGATAAGCTAATTAATACTGTCTTAAATTAGGAGTAGTTTTAAATAATGATTAGAATTATTGGAGATAACTGGAGATAGGTTCTTTGTGGAACATTTAGTGGAATGTAATGTTAGAAAAATATTTCAAACCAAGCGTAAGTTGAATTAAT